TTTGGGTCTCAAATGCCCCATTAACAATTGTCTTGTAGAGTTCTTCATAGCGCTGGCACTCAATGAGACAATGATACTCATTTTCAACTTTCTGTTGAGGGCAGTTTGTGCAAAACCGCAGATGTGCAGGTCTGTGTTCAGGTTTAGCTAATATATCTGAAAGTCGACATAAGCCGGACACAGGGTAAGATAACTAACTAGAAACACGACTTTATCGTACTCTATTGTGTACTGAGCTACGTGCATCAGCTGGTTATCTGCTACACTGTATAGTGGACATCCTGTTAAATAGCAATCATCACACATTTCACAGGCAATTTCTTGTGCAATCGTACACGTACTGGGCCCTTATTCACGAAAACTTAAACTAAGTTACAGCCGAAATTTTAAGAAATACTGCAACTTCATTGGATATATGCAAATTGATTTTACTGGTCAGCCAATCGAATTGCAGTATTTCTTAAAATTTCGATTGTATCTTAGTTTAAGTTTTCGTGAATAAGGGCCCAGGTGTGTTATTTATCAACTTAAATAAAATTCATAGATTAATAAAACGTTACAATAAGAACAATAAGCAAATAGAAACTTGGCAATATAAAGTGTCTGTGTGTAGTTGTGGGATCTTTAAGAAACTAAAACCTTTTTGATTGAAAATGAAATGAAATGGGGTTTAACGTCCTACTGTTTTGCTCCTAAACTGGGCTAATGGAGACGGGCATACGCCATACAGTGTGCTATGAGGGAAATTTTGCCCGGGCAGCGGCGCTACGGCCTACTCTTATATCGAATTCCAACTGCCAAGGGATCTTTTACGTGCACGCCAATTTGTACACGGGACCTCGGTTTTTCGTCCCATCCGAACGACTAGACAGCTGTCCTTGTCGGGCCTTCCGTCCGGCAACACTGACAAGGGGGAACCACGCCGGAAAATCTGAAGGGATTGAACACTCGACCTCCAGGCTAGCGAGCCAGCGTCTTACCCACTTAGCCACATGATCCCCTTTTTGATTGAAAACAAAATGAAGTATTGGATTGATTTGATATAATTATATCCATTAGTGATGAGCTCCATACAATAAAACTTTTGTTTGGGAAGATTAAGCGAAATTCGGAGAGTATACTAATTTTAGTTTCATTTTTGGCGTACTGGGTTGACACTAGAACACACCATCAGTTAGGCCCGTTTTCCATGTACGCTTTTTCACAGCGTTTCCGCGAAAACGTCGGGCCAATGCAATTGTAATGGGGCCGTTACCATGTAACCGGCGAAAAGGTTTTACACTGTATTTATTTATTGGCATAAAATTTTCCTACAGATTGTCACCCTACAAAACAAATCAACATAATATAATCCAGTGAAATCTACAGTTTTAGTTTTTTTACAAACATGCGAATTTTGACCAGTTAGCATCGATTCCGTGTACCCTTAATCATCTTTTTACCATCAGCAAAGTTACCTTTGAAGTGTGATATAATGTTTACTTAGTGTCCCCCTTTATCCACTCAAAAAATACGCAGATCGGGCTCACAGAGTTCCCGCTGCATTTCCACACTCATTATTAGCTATTCCCTGGCCCTAAATATATATTTTCGAAAGGACACGGACTTCGTACTTCAAATCTTCTAGTCATAACTTAGATATTCAAAACAAAAATATTGAAAACTTCAACAATAACTTTCAAATAAATATTTTCTCCATAACAGGGAAAGTCTCCGTTTTGTCGCTGACCTGATAAGCCGTGCAATCAATAATAACAAGTCACGTGGTATACAATGAAGAGAGAGAGACAGTGAGCGAGATATATGCACGCGACAGCCTGGGATTTTGGCTCGCTATCAACAGCGCGCATGCGATGTCGCTAACTGTGTGGACAGACGCTAAACACCAAACAGTCGCAGTATAAAAGGCCGAACGAGGCCACGGTAACTTCAGAAATATTATAACTGAGCTTGTGTCAACTTCATATTGTCTTATACAGTTGATAACTTCACTGACTTGACTTGTGCGACTTAGCAGTTTTTACAACTTTGATACAAATTGTGTTTAGCTGTACAGCTTTATTAAATTAAAAGTAAGTATTTTTTACGTTTAAATGCTAGTTTATTTGATTGAATATGCATATTCAATCAACTGTTGAGTACTTTATCACGTGTGTTATATTAGTCATATTTATTGATATTTCATCACATTTTTACCATCAGTGAAGATTTCACGATTAGTTGTGACAAGATTGTATTTTAGATATCTTAATGAGTAATTTTGTGATTTTTTATTATCATTTATCGGAATAATTTATTTCATTATTCCAACATAATTGTATATGCATATTCCTATGTTAACAGATTAGACTATTCTAGAATGATTATGGTAAACTCTGGATATTAATTGAATATAACTTGTTTTAAAATGATTATGATCTGTGAATATTAATTGAATATAACTTGTTTTAAAATGATTATGGTAAACTGTTGATATTCAAAAATAATTTCATTGGAAATTTAATTTTTGTATCATACTGTATTTCACCTCAAATGTAAATTTTCTTTGGAAAAATCGCTTATATTCAATCAGTACTGAAGGGTCATTTTGTGTCTAAATATTTCTTTGGTGTAATTTCTCAACGGTAAAAAATGTCATGTGACCCACAATAAGAATAATTGGGTTGATGTATTTAAAAGAATAATCATGAAGCACTTTCCTAGGCCAGGTTTAATCGCGAAAATGGAGACATCAAATTTGCTAAGAAAATGTAGAAAAATGCGTTTGTCCTATATTGACAATTGGTGCAGTGTTGCAGTGAAGTGTATTGGTGCGACCTATTTTCTACCCATGCGAGTGTACCTTTAGTATGCGAGGGTATAAATGATTCGTATTGTGTCGTATAAAAGTTACTGGTTTTCGATAATGATGTGATGCGCTCTGCTTTTCGTTTTACGACACCTGTAATCAGACCTTCTACGATGCGGAATTCTTTTTGTTCACCCAAGCATAGAGGTCGTTATTTTGGTTTATTAGTGAAGCACACTTTTGAAAAAAAAGGTTTTTACAATTGACGGTTGTCAGCAATTGACAACAGATATCATACGAACAAATTCCTTTTAAATTGTTAACTCAAGCGAGAAATTTAGATCCAGGGTGTCCCGACCCATTGAAATGCACGTTATTATTAAGAAGCTTTTATCTTTTCAATCTGTGACTTTGCATAAATTAAAGATTATCAAATTCCAAGTTAGCTGTGATAATACATCGCACAAATGAAATGAACCTGACTATGCATATTATTTGTAAATGTAGGTATTATATTTCAAGGTGGGAAATTTCCACAAAGCGATGTTTCCTTGCACAACCTATAAAGTTATACCATTTTTTTTCGAGCTCGTTGGGTTTTGATTGTTCGTAGTGAAAGCGCCTAGAAATAGGACATGCGGATCTAGATACTTTACTATAGAAATGTTGAATACATTTTTAAAAAAACCCAACAAAACTAAACATTAAACAAAACAAAACAAACAGTTGGAAAGACTACTTTGCCCCACAGAAATAAATGGGAATAAAAAAACCAAAAAACTTTTATGCGCATAAATTTAGTAATAAGTGATCTTTGAGTCTTTTTATTTTGGACATGTAAATAAAAATATACAAAATGTTCCCAAGGCCATGTATGCGTGTTCATTCATTTATTATAAATAAAATCAGACCATGCATTAATAAAGATAGATATGAATGAATAACCACAGAAATGTGTATTGACGCAAGCCTGCGAAAAACACGTATTAAAATATATTTTTAATCGTATACAAAGACGGGGCCCAGTGACTCATATGTTTATATGTGCTTATATGGACAACATTTCTGACAACAATGATATAAACTATATATACTTGTTCGTGTAAACACAATTTTATATGAACATATTTTATAAAAGGCGCAACCCTTTTATTCGGGTTATTTTATTGAAACCATACAAATTTAACGCTGACAATTTTGTTTATTGAAAAACAACCAATTAATAAAATCGAACCACCGGATAATGTACGAATAATTGAATGGGAAAAATTTGCATAGGAAATAAAAAAATGGATTCTATTTTAGGGGACTTTGAAATGTTAAAAGATAAAACCGCATTATCAACCGATCTGATAAAAAAAATCTATTATTTGACACAAGGCCACGAGTCTACTAATATTACCATTTCAATAACAGTTTTATCTTTAATTTGGCAACCGTCCCGCCGGGTATGTAGATACAATAATAAAAAGTTTTAGAATAAAGGATATATCATGAAAGGAATGCATTTCATTGTGCTATTTGCATTTAACACTTCAGAAATTACTTAGAAACCGTACATAAACACATGTCTGAAAAGCGAGCCAGCGTATAATTAGGTCATGGTTATATTTAGTAACACAATAGATGATGCAATGTGGTAAAGTCCCCAGCCAAGTCGATCGATAAAGCGATGAAGTAATATCAACCCCAGACAGGCAGATATATGTCACCAGTTCAGCCATTTGCTAGAATAATCTAGAAAACTGGTCAACGTTCAGCGGAGAGTTACGAATGAGCGGAAGAAAGAATGCATAATACTCGAAATTCATTTCTAAGAAGAAATGTTCTGGCGGAAAATCTCTTGTACTTTGACTCCTTATATGGGGAATAAAGAAGCGTCATGAATCGGCTGCTCCGACTCTTGTCTCCACGAGGGCATTTTATGAGTCATGAGAATGCCGATTTTTATTACGGTTTTAAACACTTTCATATATATATTAAATTCTAAATATATGCCAAAGAACAAAATGACTATATATGAATATGATTTCAATTGATAAACAAGGTGCGCCAACATGATTAAGAATCAACGAACCATAAAATGCCATTTGCATTAACACGTATTATTAGTTCACGGGAGCATTTATTGATCTGAAATGTATGACAAACCGGTTTTAACTGGCAGTAGGGAATGTGTATTCATAAATGGATCACGAACAAACTGGTTTGATCATAAACACATGCTCATTCGCGTCTTAACCTCTGCTCGAGTAAGGTGTTTCACGTTAACTATGAATATCAGAGATTGCTTCTGTATGACGATCTCACAACTGTATCTATTAGTTGTAGGATATTATTTTTGGATTTTGTGACAAAACGTATCTGTTTGTTCATCGCAACCATATCTTCATTTCCAGGTAAAGATAATACTTTCGAAAATCAATTCGTAGCCATATTTTTAAAAATGAGATAGTTATCTCAATCATTGTGCAAGAGTGGTATACATAAATTGTGCGTTATCACTGGTTATCGGTGTATATGATAACAAAACGTGTGCTATCAAAACGTGACTTTCGGCGCGATATTTAGGGAAACAAATTAAGATACGAATTTTTGTATAAAAAATGACAGTTTACCCATAATCATTTGTTGTTGATAAATGGTCTCATTGTTATTTTACAATATGTATTGAAAGAAAGATAAGCATGTATTGAAAGGAAGATAAACATGTATTGAAAGATACAGTTTTTCCTATGAACGTAATGTCATGTTTATAAGAGAACAGCTTGCTTATGATTTTTATTTTTTTTATCTTTTCAGTGGGTTTAACTACAACCGATAACATGAGAAATTTAAACAGCAATAACTGCCGCGTGCCATCAATTTCACCTTTCCTGACGTCACTTCCTGATGGACGTGAAGTAGTCATCGGCTACATGACAGACCAACAGCTGTCTGAGACCTTTGCCATGATCCAGGAAGCTGCACAACAGAGCAACGGATTCGGCATCGATGAATACTCCAACGAAAATGAATTCCGACAAGATATCACAGGCGGTTACTGTTTTGCTGTGACGCTGAAGGAAACTGGTGAACTGATCGCCTCTTTTATACTAGCTATCAGCCGCTTTTACCGAGGGTCGACCGTAGCTGATCCCTTCGTCATTGTAAAATCCACCGAACGACGACGTGGAATCGGAGAGTTCTGTTTACAATCTGCTGTGGACCTGGCCAGCGAATTGGGTTTCATTGGCATGTACGTCGACTGCTTCAGTAACAACCGAGGTATGCTGAAAATCATTGAAAATACTGGTGGATTTGCTAGAGTCGGTTGTCTGCCCCTTGGAGGTCAAATGAAAACTGGTGAAATTGTGGGTTCGGTGATATTCTATCGAGATCTGCGAAGAGAAGAATAAGAAGCAACCACACACCATCTACAGAGGCACAGATTAACCTCCCAGAGTTATCTCCTCTTTGATGTCACGTGATTCAACACGGCCGACAAAACGTGCTGAGCTCTCCCAAAAGCTCACACGTAAACGGTTACGAAAACCACACCACTGACAGACTTCTCGTAGAAGGGTTGCCTTGTTACAGCTTGTCAAGAAATGACGAAAAGCTTCCAGCTTCCTTCGTTAATTATTCAGTTTTGTAGTAACAATAACATCCCGAGACTGTCCAGTACTCCAGCGCCAGAAATCGGGAACATGCCTCCCAGAAGTATCGCCAAAATACGCTTAAGAACAATTAAGAACATTTGAAATTAAGAAAAAGAACAAGAATAATGGCGAAAGTGTTCCTAGTGATCAAGAACAATTTGTGAATGCTCAAACTAAACTAAATGTCATTCCTACGACTTTGCATTCCAAATGTGAAACTCTTCCAATGTTTGAAATGATACGAAAGATACGAACATTGCATATAGAATATGCTATAACATATTTTGTACGATTTGTTTTTTTACATCTTTTTTACTGAGTAAATTAAATTATTTTTTTTATAAATAAAATGTTTTGATATTTTAATGAATCTTTAGAATTTAATATCAGAATGCTCAGGGAAACCACTGTCAGAATGTTTTTTTGTGGAGCGGGAAGGGGATGCGGGTCTGTGTCGAAATATGGGGCCATTCTGTCCACTGTGACAACTTTGATATTGGGTTACAGGTTAGCGATTTGTTCCATATTGCCAGACAAATTTCTTCTTGATTCACTGCCAATCAATGAATCGACTGGGGGTCGACGCCCATATGTACCTTATTTGTCCTAAATATTATCGGGAAACATCCATAACGCGAAACACCCGCACACCCTCTCCACCATTTCTCAGAAGATAGAAGAGAATACAAATGTGATTTCAAAATGGAACCATGTCCATACGTACGCCAGGTAAAATATCAGTTCGGATTAATGTCAAGGCGTCCCAGCACATCGTCTGTAATGAAAACACCAAAGATGAAATCGTGAATAATACGAAGTGAAGTCAAAATGGCAGATGACACTTTTGACAGCGTCCTTTCATATCACACGAAAGATTATCTGGATATAATCCCTATGGCGAACCTCTCCCAGACACTTTCCGTATACTAGTTACAGAAAAACAGAAAACATCTAATTTTGATATGGATGGAAATGGCTACAAGGGTGGGAGAAGGGGAGAAGAATTATGTCAAATAAAACAAAATAAAAACACATTTACCCCCTCATTGAGCCACTTTCCTGACGACAAAACGATGCTTTTTATTAAAAATTCGGATTGAAAGGTAACGTGAAAGTGAAAGGACATATGGCATGGATCAAACTGTCAAAGGGCATAGGTTTTTACAGAAAATACAGACCCCCCGCCCCCCAACATAAGTAATTTAATAAAAAAGATTTTTACAGGGGAGTTCGGGGGGGGGGGGGGGAATGTAGTCTAGACATGGAGCAGATAATCAGGAATGGTGCTCCCACCCCCAATAGCCAAAATGTTATTTGAGAGAATAACAAGTGTCCGGACCTATTTGTCCATAATCCCCATTGTCGCATAATACTATTCTGTTCGGTGGCCCTATTTCTGATGGACCTTAACTTATAACACAAGAGTACAACAAACATGGAACAGCTGTTTACAGTACATAAGTAATAACACGACACAATGATAAATCTGGCCTGATGTTCGTTATAACTGAACCCGTTCCATCGAATAGTTTAAGATGATCCGGTATGAAATTTACAGATGATGCTCAGTATTCTCATTAACTCTAAAACACATGATACGAAATGAAATGAAATGGAGTTTAACGTCCTACTGTTCTGCTCCTAACCCGGGCTAATGAAGACGGGCATACGCCATACAGTGTGCTATGAGGGAAATTTTGCCCGGTCAGCGGCACTACGGCCTACTCTTATATCGAATTCCAACTGCCAAGGGATCTTTTACGTGCACGCCAATGTGTACACGGGACCTCGGTTTTTCGTCCCATCCGAACGACTAGACAGCTTTCCTTGTCAGCCCCTCCGTTCTGCATCACTGACAAGGGAGAATCACGCCGGAAAATCTGGATGAACTTTCTCGGCCAATGCAGGGATCGAACACCCGACCTCCAGGCTAGCGAGCTAGCGTCTTACCCACTTAGCCACGTGATCCCCCACATGATACGACTTCGCATTCGCGGTTCACAGACTGAAGTCTTATGTGTCATTAATTTATAGTTAAATTGGATACTGCGGTGAGCAGTGGTCCAAAAACTATTACCCTATTGTTTAGAATTTAGAGAACTGTTACTATTTAAGGGCGCCGCGGTGGCTCAGTGAGTAAGACACTTGATCGCTAACCAGAAAGTCTCTGGTTCGCTCCCGTTGTTGACAGAGAAATTAAATCCGGATTCTCCGACGCGGTTTCCCCTTGTCACTGGCACAGGACGGAAGGTCTGACAGGGAAAGTGTCTAGTCGTTCGCATGGTTCGCATGGTTCGCATGGTTCGAAAATAGAGATCCCTTGAACGTAAAAGAAACCTTGACAGTTGCAATTCGAAATAAGAGTAGGCCGTATCGTCGCTGTCCGGGCAAAATTTCTCTCATAGCACTCTGTATGGCGTAAACCCGTCTGCATTAGCCCAGTCGGAGCAGAAAAGTAGGACGATTCATTTTAGTTATAATTTAAGCGATATACACGGCAGATTTGGTGAAGTTCTACATATCTTGCTGTGTGAAGACTTTCTAGTGGCAAGCAAATATTCTTCCCCATGAAAATGTATTTATGCAACACATGGTTTCAACCAATTAGAATCTAAGGAATTTCTATTTTGGACGACAATGATAAAATTTATCATTTAATGATAGTAAACACTTTCCAAATTTACCAAATTTATTAACTTTTATTCAGTTCAGGGCAGGCATGAAACAAAATAAACCCTTGCGAACCCAAAAACAATCTTGTAAGGGTGGGTGATGTAAATATATAGACAAACGAGAAATTATCAGAATGTTCCGTACCATTCCATCAAGGAATCAGGAAATACAAAGTGATATTATGTGACAATGCCAGAGTAGTTATTTTTTCCTATTGCTTCGCTTTCAAAGTTAGGCAATATTTATGCCATATGTGCATTAATATCTAGAAATTTATTCGAAGAACTCTACATATATCAAGCTGGATCAAAACCACTATTTGCGATTTTATTATTCGCTATTCACGATAACAATATATCGTTCTGGTTCTAGCCTTCGGAGTTGTATAATAGTTTGTTTTGATTATCAATAATACGGATGCCGAGGAAAGATTTTCCCGGAAACTGTCAATTATATGAGTAATGTGTTTTTATTACGCCAAGTTGAAGAGTGATAAGTTGTACAACAAATGACATTGTTAATTTAAAGCAGGACTACAACAGCCATCGCCAGTGTCGTCGTACAGAGAGAGAGAGAGAGAGAGAGAGAGCGAGAGAGAGAGAGAGAGAGAGAGGGGGGGGGGATATGGCTCGTGCATCCACTTAATTATGTTTTTTGGAAATTTGTGATTATGGCTGTTAGCTGCCTTAAATAATTTCAATAAAAGGTTTATTTTATCTATAACCATCCCTTGAACGTAAAAGAAACCTTGACAGTTGCAATTCGAAATAAGAGTAGGCCGTATCGTCGCTGTCCGGGCAAAATTTCTCTCATAGCACTCTGTATGGCGTAAACCCGTCTGCATTAGCCCAGTCGGAGCAGAAAAGTAGGACGATTCATTTTAGTTATAATTTAAGCGATATACACGGCAGATTTGGTGAAGTTCTACATATCTTGCTGTGTGAAGACTTTCTAGTGGCAAGCAAATATTCTTCCCCATGAAAATGTATTTATGCAACACATGGTTTCAACCAATTAGAATCTAAGGAATTTCTATTTTGGACGACAATGATAAAATTTATCATTTAATGATAGTAAACACTTTCCAAATTTACCAAATTTATTAACTTTTATTCAGTTCAGGGCAGGCATGAAACAAAATAAACCCTTGCGAACCCAAAAACAATCTTGTAGGGGTGGGTGATGTAAATATATAGACAAACGAGAAATTATCAGAATGTTCCGTACCATTCCATCAAGGAATCAGGAAATACAAAGTGATATTATGTGACAATGCCAGAGTAGTTATTTTTTCCTATTGCTTCGCTTTCAAAGTTAGGCAATATTTATGCCATATGTGCATTAATATCTAGAAATTTATTCGAAGAACTCTACATATATCAAGCTGGATCAAAACCACTATTTGCGATTTTATTATTCGCTATTCACGATAACAATATATCGTTCTGGTTCTAGCCTTCGGAGTTGTATAATAGTTTGTTTTGATTATCAATAATACGGATGCCGAGGAAAGATTTTCCCGGAAACTGTCAATTATATGAGTAATGTGTTTTTATTACGCCAAGTTGAAGAGTGATTAGTTGTACAACAAATGACATTGTTAATTTAAAGCAGGACTACAACAGCCATCGCCAGTGTCGTCGTACAGAGAGAGAGAGAGAGAGCGAGAGAGAGAGAGAGAGGGGGGATATGGCTCGTGCATCCACTTAATTATGTTTTTTGGAAATTTGTGATTATGGCTGTTAGCTGCCTTAAATAATTTCAATAAAAGGTTTATTTTATCTATAACCATCCCTTTCTCACATTTCTGAGTATGGCGCCATGAATTCCATCGAAAGTAATGGGCACTCTAGACGCACGTAACGTTAGGATTAATCGATTTTAATAACGTTTTGAATCATATGCCTTTTGATAAAGACTATACTGTTCATAACAAATTATCGCAGATCATCTACTGATCTCAAAGGTTTAAATATTATATTTTCGGATATATTTTTTTTATATGTTTAAAATCAAAGGTGTTTAACGTCTCATCAACACACGACGTCGGTCATTTTGGAACTATCTCGCAGTTAATTAATCTATAGTCGTGTGTGCAACGCCTGAGAGAAAATGTTTTCCCAAACAATGGTTCTACCGTCCATTCTTTGCAAGTTCCAACTGTTAAAGGTTTTTTTTACGTGAATGACATAGTATACACACATTGACTACAGTTTTTCGTGCAATCCAAACCACTAGGCAACATATTAGATAGCTGTCTTGATATTTATTTAAAGAGCAGAAGCGATATTGTGCTTTATGGAAGCAATGGTGTATAGAATTTCTTCTTTGATTGGCGTTTGTTTAGTAATTGAACATATTAACACAAGGTACAATTTTATGGATACACAATTACTGAGTTTAATAAGCGACGTTTCGACGTCTTTATGAAGCATTATAATGTTCACTTGCTTGATAAAGATGAGAGTTTCCTCGTCGAAACGTCGCTTAGTATTAAACTCAGTATATTGTGTATCCATAAAACTGTACCTTGTATATATAGTATTAGTGGTTGATCAGTAACAAATGATTGAAGAAGTAGGAGCCAGACATGGTTAACTCTATCAACTTTTTTCAGAGACTATAAAACATTCTTTCAAAGGCATACTTTGTTTCTTGAGAAGAAAACCCCAACAAAAACCAACTACCAAAAT